GACGTTGCTCGACAACGGCCGAGGCAGTCGCTATACGCCTGCGAAACCCGGTACGGTGCTGTCAAAAACGTTTCGTACAAACGCTGAGTCTGCCTTGGTCGTGTGACACGAATCAACCGGCCAAGTCACTCAACAGCCCTCTTCCCTGTCTCACAACATCCAACTAAATGCTTAATTGGCGGGGGGGGGGAGGCGCAGACAACCAATCGTTCGTGTCTCCACGTTTTCTCATTTCACTAACCAATCTTCGTAGCGTATTTCATTTTTCGCTCTTATTTTAACCATTAGATATGTACTGACCTGATGACGAGATCCCGAAAACATTAATGTTCGTCAGTGTGTTATTTTTCAAACCATGGGTATCTTCAAGCTTCAGTAACTGACGTCAATATTTTGTTGCCCGTCTGTTATTGCCCGCAAGTTCGTCTCGATTGCACTCATTTTGATTGCGCACTGCGATGGAAAATCGGTCGAGGGGGTGTCGAACCCAGAACCTCCTGACGGCAAGGGAACGCGCTACCGATTGCACCGACCTGACGTACGGAACGGCTGGTTATTTTGTATTACCCATTTATCAAGCCTGCCAGATAGCCTTTGCTGAGCTTCGTTTTAAACGGACGAACCCGCGTAATCTGACTTGTCGCGCGGCACGAGCGGCTGCGTCGACGCCGACCGAAAGACAGTCCCTCACATTCCGAACGTGCTGACTCCTGCGCCGTCACGGCCAACTCACACTGTCAGACTGCCCCTATATAAATCCGTGCTGCGACAGTGACTATTTCCCGCGCCTGCCGATTGCGTCATTGTTAATTAACCAGTTCCTGTCAGTCCTCAATATATCATCTGCTGCCCGACGTCTGTCTGCTCCTATTGACTACTGGCTAAACTGCGTATAATCAAATAGTCGCAATCGTCCTGTGAGATCCATAACCGTCCGGATCTTACAGTGGTCTTCGAAACTCGGGTAATGCTCACTAATAGTCCACCATATTTGGGCCCGTGATAAAAAGATTTAGCTTTGTGCCGCCCCGTTGCAAACGTGTTTTTGTTAAAGAAAAATTACGGTAGTGGGTGTAACAAGGTATTTCGTGACTGATTGTTCATAAGACACCCCGTCTAAAGAAGCACGCTAAACTTCAGTTGAAAGCATAGAAAAATAGCTCCACATAAAAGCTAGTTTACCAGTTAGCAAAACAATCCTATTCTACGGCTGTTTACATACTCCAGATGTATTCATCTGCCGACAGTAAGTAGTTGCGTAAGGAAGCGCAAGTGTGCAACATCAGCTGGAAGCGGAGTGTGCAGAAACAACTCATGACAAATTTTAAAAATGAAAGTTCATCACCTATCATCTTATCCTCAAGTGCTGGTGAAACAGTGTCTCACTGACTGGAGTAAACAGAGTACAGGCCGGAAAAATTAATCCTAGTGAACTAATTTGGGTCGCACCTGAAGATATAAGAACCTCCTTGGATGTAGGATTACATTCTCTCAACAGATATTCCGTTTAACAGCACAGGAGCTTTGAAACTTGCATACAGGAAGTTAGGACACCTCAGACCGTCGAACCAAATGGCTTATAATATACGGTGCACCTTGGATCCACCGATCTTCTGAATACATTGCACCAGCATTGGCATTGACCATCAATTTACATCGATTTCATTGTCATGCGAACAAAGCATTCCGACAGATGCATTGACAGGCTTGATAAGCTCACTATTTCCCAGCATCACTGTAGATGTATTTAAACTCTCACTCAAAATCATAAAATAAAGGCAAATTGAACAGCAATCTTTGTGCAAAAGTTGATAAACTACTGACCTGGCATAATATGATTACTGGTGTTTGCAACGTGACATGTTTGACAAGTACTTTGTCAGTCTGCGATACAACTGACTGTCTTCTGTCTTGTGGGCGTCGGTAAGTATGCGTACCAAAACAAATGTACGGCCTTCTACATTGTTTCAAGAAGATCCTATGATAGCATATCCGATCTCTTGTAATTGTGTGAGGCAATATTCTATGCAGTTTGAATAAAACACTATGCATTTCCAATGTTTTAACACAAATTTCATTTTCTGATTGCTCATGTGTGCAACCCACAATGCGTAAGGTAACCATCATGAGGTTTTTAACTGTTTCAGCCCCCTCTCCACACCAAATATGCACACATGGGTTACAAAAACTGATCATACAAAATGTATTTTCCAAACGTCACAGTGAGGAGCAGGACAAAGCACTGAAAATTAGGAGGCCGAAAGATAGTTGCAGCCAAACCAGTCCGGTGAAGGGACGCATGAGATGAATATGCGCAGAACGCCACCTGTAGTGTTTATGACAGCCTGATACATTCATCGGTGAATGACTTGCGCCTTAAACCGGCCAGGCAACTTGAGAGGTCTACAGAGGAACCTGCATATTTGGACGCTACTAAGAAGAATTATGTATGTCTTGGCGCTTCAAGGCGAACTGAACCTCATATCGCGCCACCTTTACGCAATTGAGGTCATGCAGAAACACTGTTGGGATAGTTTGTCTCACCTGCACTTGATACATGCTTCTGGACTACAGTAAAACCATGTATCTTACTCACAGCAAACGCTAGAAACTGGGAAAATCAGTTCAGGGGAGGACCACGTTTCCCCGATCACTTTTATATATTGTGCACGAGACGTCAGAACGGGTGGAATAAATCATTTGCTAAATACATGTAGGTCCTAAAAGTTGCTGAAGAGAATCTCGCACACCGTGATAAACTTACTTATCACATCTATTTCCCGTGTGCGCTGCACCATGAGTGATATGTCCTAGAGAGTGTCTGCAGTAAAAAGCCCCTCGTAAACTGGAGTGTTTCCCCGACACTGGTGTAGCGGCGAATACTACTGAGGGAACATGCCAGTAGCCTGTTGTCGTGTCAAAACTCCACCCTGCATCTAAGGATATGTGGAATTTATTACAGACCTCGTGAACCTGCTATGCGGTGTTTGTTTGCGATTGCGTAATAGTCAGTGAATATCCGTTAAAGTCCAAGAGGATGCGTGAGATCTTCAATTTTCAGAATGTACGTGCATATGAGACTCATTCTGTCCAATAGCTTGTAACTGCTTCAGTCGTTGTCTGCTAACAGATGAGTTCGCAGAGAAGGGTTTTCTCCTTTTACTAGTACTTGCGGTATGCGTTGTTCGTGACACTAACAGAAGAAGCTGACCTATGAAGGCAAACAACATAGCGAATAAGGTTATTACTCTGTATCCTAACGTTCGTAGAGAGTACGCAACTTTTCTTTTGCATTGTACTTGCTGTTAGTTTCGTATAAAAAACTTCGGTCTACTTAAGAAACATAAGAGCTATTTGCCTTGATGTTTATCTCACATCAAACAGCTAACCCAGATGCGAGTGTTCCTGGATGGCCTATTCAACTAGTCAATCCTTCCACAAAACCATGATACATGACCCAGTTTAAAGAAACCTGGCTTTCTGCAGAGTTATCAGTAAGCACTTGTTATTGATCTGAAAACAGTGCCGCGAAAATTGGCCAAGAGTATAATCGACTTGATGACCGCTGCATTGCAGGTGTTCCACGTGCAAACTGTCACCCATTTCGTCACATCATGGGGTGAGCTTCATCACAACTGACGGACATTTCCGATATACCTCGATTGAAACAGGATATCCGTAAGTTTATACCGCCGATAGGTTTAGCTAGGTTATTTCCCGTAGATATGTGACAACGCGAGCGGTTGACCATCTAGCGCATTTAGTTTAATATATCTAATAGCCGCAGGAATCCGTTGAAAGCTTGTGCATTTGTCCTGATTTGAGAATATTTACACAACGTTAAACATCAAGATGAACATGACCTTCACATCGATTCGTGCTTCCTACACATGAAGAACGTATCAAGAAACTTAATTCCAAAAGATATAAAATCATGTCTAACCTAGCTGGTATTCAGATAATCGGTTGTCAGTTTGTCTTTGTCTGACCCGCCAAATTTTAGAGGCTTTCCGCACACCATGCGCCCTATGGTCATGAAGACCTTTGAAGCACCTTCACTGGTGGTGAGCCAGATTTCCTAACCCAGCAAGTAATCCAGGGTCACTGTCAGTTGCACACAGACCAACAGTATAACAAGAGTAGATGGGATCATAGGAGACCTAAGGGCTCCAAGATATCAATGAATTCTACATATGATCTGAATGGACAACAGAAAAGTGCACGATAGTGTAATGGACCAATAAATAGTTTATCGCAATTTTTTTTACACAACCATTAGCTGAGAAGACATCCGGAGGAAGTTACAAACGTCCTACTCACCCGCACTTAGTTATATAAACGAATGATGGTTCCATTATTACTTTCTCTTCAAATATTCGGCGTACTTCACGACTACTCTGGCCACAACGTTTGTGGGATTGTCAGAAATTTTCAACTTCACTCTCACACATGCAGTCGGCAACACGGAAACTGCATCGCCCACACAGCTGACTGACTCAAAGGACAGGATCCTACTGGACCCATCAATCATTTTTACACATAGAAAAATTCATCAGTAAAAATCCTTGAAAATTAAGCTTGGTTGTGTTGGTTTCTTACTAGCCACCTAAAGACTCAACATTATTACAGTCGAATTGATCGGTCGTATCGCAAATGAAACAAGAATAGAATAAGCCCACAAATATGTCATCAAACGAGTCATCCATAGTTCCTAGGGTCCCTAAGGGGTAAGTGTCTTCATGTGTAAAACTTCAGTTGGTAGTTTTGAGCAACCTAGCTGACTACTACGGCGACGACGATGTACAGAAAATGAGGTAAACGTCAACCGAGGTTGTTGGTGGTAACGAGAGCTTGTCCTGTGTGTTGGTAAAAATTCAACCTAGATACTAGTTAAAATGATATTACGCAAAACACCACAGTTGATGTTCGTCAGTCGAACATGTAGATTGCATAGCCCTTTAACAGACTATTTCTTAGATTTGGATGCAAAAGGACTAATGAAGAAATAAGTGATAGCCTTGTGTATGCTAAGCTAGCAGTATATACTGACTATAGTCTGCCATGCAAACATGGAGAACTAATGCTCCAATAAGAAGTAGAGGGGACATGGAGCAAGGACGCCGGATATCTCTAGTAAAGTTGTCTAAAACAAGGTACTTAATAGGAACAAAATATGGACTGTATTGCTTACAAACATTTGGACACAGCGCCCGACTGGAAAGCGGTAAAATGCCCTACACCTGGATCGGTTGCCTCGTACACGAAGAATAATTTGAATGCAGTCAGAAGCGTTCATACTTCTCATTACGTTTACTTTTTACTTCAGACGCTCTCATCTGCCCTTTATCACTTTGAATATTTGCCGACAAGGATTTGAAGCACAAAGGCAGCTGAGTTGGAAGCAGTCGCCGCGCATGCCAGGCGTATATTCCAAACGCCCTTAGGAGAGTAAACTACATTTTCTGCTGCAGTTGTTTTTTTTATTACCCTGTATCCACTTACGATCCAAATGCAAGCAATCTGTATTATGCGATGGACAGCCTAGAGGACTTTTAAGGTCATTGACGCGTCAGGCGAAGTTTTAGACACTAGACCTTCTGCAATCAAGGCGCCTTCGTTTAAATTCATCTTTATACCAGAAACACCACTTTACATTGCCAGAATTCATTGGTCATCTCCCATGTTGAATTAGACCTGGTGAAGATCTTGACAAGTCCTCAGGTTTGCTGACCAGTCGCGCCGACCAACCATAACGCCGTTTTCTCTGTTCTTTCAAAATGTAGGCTGTATGTCCAGTTGGCCAATGAGAACTTGATAAAATTATATTTTTGCAAATACGTGTCTTAAATTAGGCAGATAGATATACCAGCCGGTAGATCACGGTTCGTTAATATGACACTACTTTCATTGCAAACACGAAAAAAGCAGGCCCCAGGAAAGCCGGTTCAAATAAGGAGCAAAGTCATTGAAAAAATGCTATTCCGTAACTTAGCCTAAGAAAGTAATTCCTCAGGAACAAAAGACGTTTAAATGAGGATGGTATCAGAGTGGAATCGTATCTAACAAGTATTGAAAGGTGCCGAGAAACACAACATCTCACCGGAAAAGCTTGCTTTTCAAGTGAATGCACTAACGAACACAGTTTCTAACACCTTTTGTCAAATAAGCATATGATCTTTCACATGGGAATTTGTACTGCAAGACCCAGAACAACTACACTGGACAACCATGGGTATCCCATTTTAAGTAAGTTTAATGTAATATGTCGTTTGTAGTAGGACTTTGAAAGATGCAAAGGAAATTGACTGTCTTAATCGTGATATAAATATGGAGGACAAATGCTCCGATGACTGTAAGCCTATGGCAGAACCACTCGATCATAACAGAGAAATAACTGCGAAATCGTAACCGGGATGCGAGTTGGACAGAGAGGAACTTTAGGGTAAAACTAGTGGCATGTTAGCTCCAGTTCATGAGAATGAAGAATCAAGGTTGCCTTACTCGGAGCTTAAAAGTATTTGTCAAGTCAAATTAATTAATGGTTAGCGCCTGAGCTCCCGGTGGACAATTTTCGCTTCGCACCCATCAGGTTTTTCCCGATATCTCCGCCCAGTAAAATCTCAACTCTTATGCTCTCCGCCGAGCGCTTCGCTGTATAGTCCATAGACCTAAGGCTGAGTGCACCTACATTTTTTCCTAAAATATCGCCACAAACAAAAGGTGAACGCAATGCATCCCATGGCTTTACTGCATCCCAAAGTGACTGCACGGTATACATTTGGCTTCACGTTCTCATTACACATCTAATCAACACATCCATCATCTGTGGGCAGTTGAGGCAAAATAACTCACCTTCAAGACAAGCTGAAGAAGAGGAACATCAAGTTTTGCAAATGTGTTTTATTCAGCAAGAGAAACATGGTTGACTGCGCTTGGAACTAGGTTACTGTCGTTCCTAATACGATCCTTTCCGATTTCCATGTGCAACTCACAAATTCGGCAGCATATCACGAATTTCTTGCTTTGCCTGTAAGGTGAAATGTAACACATATCCAACAGTCTTACCTCCTCTACATCATAACCACTGCCTTGATATTCTATCACTAATTTGCAGAAGGCCAGAGATTCATCGTACTGCCCCAAAGCCTTGTAGCATTTTGCCAGATAAAGCATATTTCGAATCAGGTGTCTGGGACACACTTTAGGGATAATATCACTCTGACTGAAACTTACATTCTTCACAACGTAAAAGAGATGCAAGAGACTAAACAATGTAAACTATCACGAAACACAAATTCTTACTTCCTCGTAAGTTGCAATAGGGGGACTAGTGTAGAAGACCGTCTCAAATTTTCGGATAACCTCCGAAACATCAGATACGATGAAGTACCTTTGAAGTAGAATTTATAGGATAAGGTTGAAGTTACCAAATCCCCAATTCGCTGTGTGCTAAGAAGTTGTTTGGGTCCAGTTCAATGGCCTTCTGCAAGTTGCATTTAGAGAACTGGATAGACAACGAAGAGTAAGGACTAACCGTCCAGTAGTAATGAGAAACTGGGGAGTGCTTAAGCCGCTCGTGAACACCATCCAAACCGGCCAGTTCGTCCACACCTATACCATACCACTGTGGCGATTCTCTGAACACCAAATAGTTGACCTACAACACAACAGTTTGAATTTTTGGGATCCAATTCAACTCCAGTTTTCGCGTAGCGGTGTATATCGGTAAGTACCAATTTGAGCTGAGATTTTGATGGTCTCTTCTCTTCACTGTGATCTGCGATTTTTGTATAGAACACACGTTTACACAAGGTAACCCACTCTTATAATAAAGGCAGCGAGCCAATCTCCAATATACATCAGCAACCTGATGACATTCTTCAATATCCACCAACAAGTTGTAGCAGTCAGTATAGTTCTCCAGCTCAAATAAGGCATCAGCCTTTTCATACAGTTCTTCCATGCTGATCAAGTCACTTGTCGATACAAATTCTATAAAATTGTTTAAATACCGCTTACCACAGTTGTCTATTGATCAGGACACTAAACGCCAACCACCGTTTGCAAGATTTCAACTGCATGCACATATTACCTACGGTCACCAGATAGCGTATGTTTACAAAACGGAGCGTTATGTGGTGGGCCGTCCTTATCCGCTAACAAGGTAACTTTTCTGGGGACCTGAGTGATGACGGAAATAACTGATTTACGACAAGGCATCTTACATGAAAATTTGCCTTTAAAAACACTAACTGATATGTGCACAACTCAGCGATTGAGTAGGTTGTTTAAACAACGATAGTATTGTCCCAAATAGAGAAATTTCAGAACTCCAAAGGTAAGATTCTGTCAAGGAGTCCAAGTTGCTTCACGAGAAGAAGCAACAAGGACTGCTTCTGAATACGGGTGTTAACGGAACAAAACGTAATATATAATAAATCGGTCGTCTCAAGATAAATGACTATCAAGTCTTCTCACATTTGCGTGAATCAATAATCAGCTCAGAGGACCGACAACTTACTGGCTGTGTGAAACTCTTTTCTGAGGAATCAGTCCCTGAGGAATTAATCAATACGTGACCAGGTGATGTAATTTCCGTCACTGAACGACTAGCGACGCTAAATTATGTCTACTTGAAAGCTGACCAAATTGCTGATCAGTCCCTCATGATAAAACCGTCAACTAATAAACCACTGGTCGGAAGATCCAGGGTTTGAAACCCAAAGTTTCGTGAGTTGCACACTCCTGGTGATTCTCCACAAGAATGAATCAGCAGTACAGTGCTTCTCTGTTTTCAGCACAGATGGTCCTTGCTGAAGGATGAATATCTTACATTATTAGGTCTACCACGACAAAGCTAATGGGATTAACAAAGACATTCGACGAAGTATTCAGAAGGAACACTAGTTCAACGATCAAAACAGTTTAATTGTAAACAGAGTTACAGTTTATCAGTTTGCTGCAAAATGGGTAAAACTCATCTTCGTATTTCCCAACTGAACCTCTGTTTGTCCAGTTCTCCGAATTCTCATTCAGTGCAGCACACCGGTGTAAAATATTTTGTAAGTAAAACCTGCATATCAAATATCCTCCACATTAGTGAATGAAATCCATAGGCCTTACCTATCGTTGACAGCGCCAGTGTCGTTTTTCGGCAACACACCAAGAATTATTGAAAACACATCGATCGCATGTCCACTTGCAACACTTTCGTCAGCAAAGCATAAATTACTGGTGAATAATGCTCTCAAGCAGTTCAATAACAATCACTTTAGACACTGTAGTAGTTAGTTTTCCGATTGATCAGTACTTTTTGGATGGAGTTATTTGGAGATATGGTTTGCGGACATGTGGTTTCTCTGGACACGTTCGTCAGAATAAATAAGTGGGCAGCTAATGTAACCACCATGGAGGTCGGTTGGACGTTCCCATAGAAAGATGTCAAGCTAATCCATCACCTTCGGACTTGGACACGACAAAATATTAGTTTTAATCTCAAATGCTGGTCTTCGTAGCTTTCAGTTTGCAGCAGCTTGTTTGACCAGTATTTTCTTCAAAATATTCAGTCTAGTACTTGTGTTGATAAGAATAAGTAGAAGCACAAATGACTATTCCAGTACATCCCAGCCCAAATCTAGATTGTAAGAAAAGAAAAAACATTAAATTTAACTACAAGTCGACGGAAGTTATGTAGCCAGTGGATCGGCTGTGGTGGCCAAACACGATAATTACGCTCAAACCTAGCTCAAACTTACGCAGACCTATGTAGAAAAGTACACCGTCGGCCGCATAAACCAGAAATTCTCCCTCATCTGTTTGTAATCCGCCGACACCCCGCATGTAAGTTAAGTTGTAAACTAAGCAATTTTCTGCACAAAGTTTTGCGGCGGTCAGAAATAAAACGACCACCAAAACGTTAAATACAATGACTCAGAAATGATAAGTAGGGTGGATTCAAATACACGAAAGTTCCCCGGAGGTGCTTGATGTATCCGACCGATAGCAAGACCAAAAGGGAAGAAAGGCATGACCCAAGGACTAGCGATTTTGTAGACCACCTGACACTGAAGCAAGATCGGATTCTGTTGTACGTAAAGTGAAATATTTCGTCAAAGACCATTCGCTTATTTCAGCCCATGCTTCATCTAACTTCAGCCGGTTTATGGCTCGTTTGCAAAGTCTCGTTTTTTTAACATTTGACTACTAGTTATCGAAACTATAAGCTTATTCTGCGCAGTGAAATGAGGAGTTGCTGAACAGGTGACCGTTAGAATGTACCAGCGCATAGAAAAAGGAAGCGATTGCTGAGATTGGGATTTATTAACTGGCTGAGCGATCAAAAATTTTTAAAATCCCCGAGCCAATAGTGTAAGAAAATGCAATACCAATAAACGTGAAAGTAGTGTCTGGTCGTGTATCGAAATCGACGTCCCTATATCGGATAGAAGGTTGACACAGAAATTGTTAAGCCGCTTTTAAGTGGTTGTTCATTATTGTTTAATGTTCAAACAACATGTGAAATTTCTAGAAAATGCTTGAGAATGTTCAGGTTTCAAAACCTCTGCGCAAAGTATTTTTTACTTCTGACAGCCCGCAGCCGCTTATTTCTTATTGGTTAATGAACACCTTTGCTCCTGTAGGCGAGCCTCGTTCCGCTGGTACTCCGGCTGGTTACCACGGTTAGGGCTTTTGTAGCTAAAGCACGAACTATGGTGAGTGCCCAAAATGCATTCCGCTGACTTGGAAAAGATTCACGTTTCTATTATTGTGTCACTTAACTGTTATGCCTCAACGTTTCCTGAGGAATCCCGACGATATATATGACATCGGTAACAAAAAGTCCAATGAGCACCAAAAACGAAAATGACACAAAACATATGAGCAATGTTTGTGATTCAATTAAATGATCAAGGTGGACGACGACGATCCAGTCCCGGGATTAGCATCTTCCCTGAATTTCCACCCTCTCTGCTCGAGAGATTCTCAGATGAGAACTAATCTTATTCATAGCGGTTGTGTTCGGCTGGTAGTTCTGTTAAATACTGTGAATATCCCGTACATTATAGTCATTAAAAGGCACATTTTCTTTAAGGATCTTCAGCGGACCAATCCATAAAGATGTCAGTATGCACTGGCTGAGTCCGAATTGACAGTGTTTGTTTGCCTGTATATAAAGACATTAAGGGAATGTCAAACGTACATCCCCGAGGAAAGTGGTAACTTTTATACATAGGGTGTGGCATATGAATGCCACTAGTCTGGACGAAATACATTGGTCCTCAACAGATTAGATCGATATCATAATAGTGAAAATAAGGGATTCATCGACCGAACACATAAACATTTTGTCCGAATTAAGTTTCTTATCGAGTCAACAAAATTTAAAAAAACCCGGCATATTCGTTTGCATAAACTTTGACGTACAGGCTCAAGGATAAGTGCAAGCCATCATGTTAATGCGCGATAGAATAAGTAATGCACCTTGTTAATCGGTCATATTGGGTAGCTACAATCGTGTCTGCCCACATACAAAATCCTTTGACTCTTCCACTGAGTGTGCAGTTGGGTGCGCACTGATGACGTCTCATAGTATGGTGACGGAACGTTTGCAAGCCAACTGTCAACCTCGGCAAACAGATCAACAGCCATCTGATCCACAGCCAATATAATGTAGCTATTGATTTGTGTGTTCAACTGTGCGATTCGGCTGGAAGCTTTCACACCTAATCTGAATTTCTTTGCCAGTTTATCCTGGGATATGAATGAGGTAGCTGAAAATCATGTACTGGTCACAATTCAATCTGCCCTCCAACTCCTGAGATTACGATAGCCATTATCAAAACGTAAAGCGTTAGTTTGTCATTATGTTTCTACCTGACCTAACGACAGTCAGGATAGCGGGACATGTCTTCGGTGATCAACGCTGTCCGGTTTCAAACTTACACCCGGCTTCCCTCTCAACTGTCACACTTTGTTGATCAGGCATCTAAGCTCATTGGAAGGCGAATGGTGTACACTTCCTAGAAGAAAACTCCCGTCAAAATTCCAATTATATAGCTGCAAACGGGGATGCTCGAGGCTGTCATGAATCCACTGGTAACCATTATGGATCCAATCAGCAGGTCCGAGCGGTAGATTATTCCGTCAACTTCTAATAAGAAAGGGAGTTGCAATCAGAGGGATACCCTTTGGGCTGCCGTCGTTTTCATCTTGAATTGTTCTCCTAAGGAATATATCACTATCCAAACTTAACCATTTACATCTTACCAACGACAGTATGTAGATAAAGTGATAACCAACGAGGACAGACGCGAGTGAGTGCACTGTTTCTAAGAGCCTTTTGTGGAGCCTTTTGCTAGAGATAGAGGCTCAACCATGTTGCGCTTCAGAATAAATCTTCGTTAACCGTGAGAAGATTTCATGCCAAAAAGTGATGATGCTTTTTTTATGAGTTGGATGATATTTTTTCGCAAGTTATTTTCGTGAATTATCCGTAGGACCTTTTTAGCTCCCGACTTTGTGACTTTCCTCGGCCACCTAATTGTTTCCTATAGTTTGCCTCCGGGACAAAACTTTTGGGGAAGGACGAAAAATAAGAAACTTACGCTTCGTTTTTGTACCGGGCTTATGAAACTTTACTTGGCTTCCTTTCTAAATCAAGCACCGGAGTGAATGAATTACCCCGTCTTGGTACATGGTTCAGCCACCACTAATGAACCTTCACAAGTGAATTTCATGCTTCTCAACCACAATAGAATAAGGAACTACACCAAAGACAATAATGAAAGTGTGCTTGAGCAGGACTAAATTTTAGGACGCTATGGTATGATAGATAATGATATTTGCTTTTGTTGCTCGACGCTGCTATCTGGTAACTACATCGAGCAGCTCAGCTGTGTTAAACAATCATCTAAATTCTACCCTATAAAAGTGCTAATCAGAATTTGTCTATTCACTTCTAAAAAAGTCGGC